GTCACTGGATGACACTGCTTGGAGGCGAAGAAGCCTCACCAGTAACCGTCCCTCACAGAGGATGCATTTTGGCTTGGTGCCTAGCTGACTGCCAGAGCAGCTTCCAGCGTATACAATCGCCGAAAAGTAAGGCTCCGGCAATGCCAGCCCAATTCTGTGTAGTCACGCGTCGATGTTGCCAGCGTGGGTGCTCACGCGGGCGAATAATAGCCAACATAAACTGCAATGGTTGCTGGCTCCATAACGCGCGACTACGTCCCGCCGTTGCTCAATGCCCCAGGTGTCATGGGCAGTTTGCTCACAGCTGGGTGAAATGCATGGTGGGAAGCGTGCCAGCTTCGGAATGTCGGCCAAGTAGTCGTCTGCGATGCTATGCTGCGCTGCGCTGGGTAATATCAAACGACCTCGCAAGTTGTGTAGTCAGTATTGTTGGCCGCAAGGATACCTTCATTTGCGCAGCGCGGGAGTCATTCTCAACAAGATTTTCGTGCCACGCATTCATTTTGACTCGAGCACATGCTACCGCACGTGGCTGCACACATTGATGCTCTCCAATGTACCCGCGGCGAAATTCGGGGACGATTCAGCCAAGTCCTTCGCGAAATATCGTAGTCTACTAACGGATATTGATGGACAAGGTCCGAAATTGTTCATAGCGCTGCAAATTGAGTCAGCAATTTGAGGAAGATTTCGAAGAACCGAATTGGCACATTCGGGTGAAAGGAAACTGAGATATCGCAGATTTTTTATTTCACGAAATGAATTTCTTAATTAAATGCTCTGTTTTGTACTGTGCTTTTGAGATCATGAGATGGCCATTTTCCGCCTGCTTTTCTAAACCAAGTAGAAAATGTGATTGTGCCTCAAATATAGATAGAAACAAAAAACATGACTGCGTTACATAAAAACATACAACATGAATAAGACAACATAACATATCTTCAAGGATGAAATAAAGAATGCAACACAAAACACACAAACGAACAAATGATGCAAAATGCAACAAAGTGTTAGTTAAGTTGGAAAAAAATGTCCTAGAATTAAGATCGAAGGTATTGCACTTCTCTCGAAGGCACATACTCCATGTCTCTGTTAGAGCACTTCATGGATTGGGTCAATCCACGGATTGTGGATTTATTTGCCGTTCGGATTGGACCAAAACAGACATTTCGACCAGAACATGAATGAGAACCGGACCAGATTTTCGAATTTTCGAGCTTATACTGATTGAACAGATTGAAAACCCATCAAATGGAAGTTACCATCAAATGGTCATTGAAATACCCAATTGAGACATCAACTCAGAAAGGTACCTTTAAACGAATGAAATACTGGTACTTTCAATTTCAAGCGATGCAAAAGGCTTCTAGTGCATAACTCAGTCACATATTACACACAAAAACCTGACCAACAGATCATATTGACAAATTGACATGACGCACAAATTTATGGGGCTTTGGTAAGCTAAAGCTGTTTCCTTCTCAGGTAAATGCAATGTCTAGTAGTCTGCTGATCCATGGTGTCATCACATAGCTACCACTACTCCTGTTCATGCCAGCTAGCCCATGTAACTCCAGTAGGTAGCATTGCATTTCAGAGCTGAAAACCAAGGCGGGGGCGTGTTTTGTTGGTAGAAAACAGGCCACAGAGTTTTGAAATTCAAGCTCCTGTCTGGGAAAGGCTAACTCCACGTCGACCCCACGGCTTTTGTTTTTCTAGCCGGTCGGCCCGATGTGAGTTGAACACATGTTTCAACTTAAGCATGCTGCTTCAATTAATCGAATTCGATGTGTCTCCTAGAGCGCAGATTGCTGCATCATCACATATTATTTGGTAAACCCCTTCCTACGTATATCTCAGAGGATAAGCGCGTTGTCCTCTACAACCAAGGACCAGAAGTAGCTTTCCCACCCACCTCTTTGATGTGAGTTAGGTATTCTTTGCATCCAGCAATGAAACTTTGGCATAATGTGGATACTTAATGATTTGACATCTATCTATTCTACCCACACTTCCATAATCCAGACAAAAATTGAACGCCAGCAAGGTGTTTTTCATGCCAGCTATTCAATCAACTCATTGAATTTGCTTTTCCTCCACATTGCTCCAACTGGCACCGCCCCCATGACTACATCGGCTTTGGTGTTCCAGTGTCTCTGTCATATGCGTTCTGCTTGGAAAGCATAGCCAGTTCATTATCGATGTAGAAATCCTTGCAGTTATTAAGAAATACCTGAGACATCGTTGTTCGTACAACTGTCACCAGGATCCCACGCCATCTTCATATTCAGCCACTGCTGCAAAGATTGAACATTCAGCATTGCGTACATGATTAGCTATAAAGTACGCAGCAGCCATTGTAAATACATGTGTGTTTTAGAGCTAAAGTCAGCATGAATTTATCACCTATTGACTTTCTTGCACATTAGCCGCATTCTCTACGCCCGTCAAAACATACCTTAGATACTGTATGATGTGTACGATGCTTGATAATATTAGAGCCTCCTACGATAAGCAAGTATTTTTTATCAGCAAAAGTCATGTAACAACGCGTGTGTCATTAAAACGTCGCCTATCTTAGCATTTGTCTCACATATAAGCCATGAAACCGCTCCTAGCCCTGGTAAGACGCCCAATTCCACATACGTGTGTGTGTGTGTGTGTGTGTATGTGTGTATGTGTGTGTGTGTGTGTGTGTGTGTGTGTGTGTGTGTGTGTGTGTGTGTGTGTGTGTGTGTGTGTGTGTGTGTGTGTGTGTGTGTGTGTGTGTGTGTGTGTGTGTGTGTGTGTGTGTGTGTGTGTGTGTGTGTGTGTGTGTGTGTGTGTGTGTGTGTGTGTGTGTGTGTGTGTGTGTATGTGTGTGTGTGTGTGTGTGTGTCATTGGGGCTTTACGACGCACTCAGCTGCTGAGGCTATATGGCGTCGACTGCCTCTCACTCTGGCAGGAAGGACGGGCACCGCGGGGAATCGAACCCCGTACCTCCGGTTTCCCAGACGTGCAGTTGTCAATTCCACATACGGAAATGCAGAAGTGACAACTGGGAAAGGTGTCCAGATTCCAGCTCTCCATTCGAAACGTTTCGATGCTGAGACGGGCAAACCTTACGGGAGAGAGGGTCCGGAGCCGCCCGAGGTGAGATTCAAGAGGTAACATGTAGGTATGTCTAAACATTTCGAGATGAAAAACGAATTGGCTGCCCCATAGAAAAGGTTCCACAATTTTGTGGTTTGTGGAGCCATAAGAACATTGAAATTCTAATGAGCAGTTATTCAACCCAAGCAAATACAGAACGACGATGAGCTTAACACCGTTGCGTGCCACGGCAGATACGGTATGCGGCGGCAGCCGTGCAGGGGGTGCCGCCGCAAACCTATTCGCCAGGCATAGGCAGCCAGGACAGATCGGTAGGGGGGGATAGAAGGCGAAGCATAGCACAGACTGGAAGAGGCAGTCATCCGGGGTGAGACTCCGAAGTCTGGTGTGGCGGAGCATACGTCGTCAGCAGGCCATCACCGGCCGACATGGGATGAGGTAAACATCATTGATAGCAAGCAACGCACACAGCGTACCAGTTCTAATGTCGTGAGAGTTCCCATTTAGCTCAGAGGTAGAGCGCTGTACTCGCCATCAGAAGACACGCTTCCAACTTCCAGAAATTCTGGAGAGAAAATTTGAGTCGAGACGCGCTTTAAGCTGACAGCCAGCCAAGCATTGTGTACTCCGTCACTACTCAATAACACTTGGCGGCGGCAGGAAAACTAACTGTCAGGGACGTTGTGTATATTCTAATGCACCCGAATGGGACAATATTTCCATTATTAATAACCCTTCCATCCGTAATCCTCCCGGTGTCATTACAAGTGAAATCACGGGTCGTGCGGGTCATACTCCAACAGTGATAACTTTTTCAGCATGAGTGGCCCTGCTCGGCCGGCGTTACGCTTTCTAGAAGCTAATAACCTTGCAAACATGGATCGCAGTACTTAGCTGTTCTGAGCAATAGCAAGAGTGGCTGTTTACAAACCTGCGCTAAAGGCTGGAAAGCATTTACTCACAATCTGCTTGATCTGGTGTGATTTTCCTGAAACACTGCAAGTCAAAATGCACCAAACGTAACCTTTTCGAAAAAAGCTGTGCAACATGGGTAGAAGCCGGCCAAGGTGATAACGCCAGGTGTCTCACCGGCATGAGGCAGACACATTTTGGCAGAGTGGAGGAAAGGCACTCTTATGGTAAAAATGTGGTAGTCGGTCACGTCCTCCCAAGTGCAAACCAGGGATTCAAGCAACGAAAATCTAACGAATCTTTTAATCTGATGCGACAACGTGTTAGACGTGTTAGTGCTAGACGAAGCCATGCATCTCTGAGATAGTTTCTTAAGCGACAAAGCAGTCGAATTTGAGATTACAACAAATTTCATTAACCCATGGTCATGTATAAAGGTCAGACCTAGGTAAAAATGAATCTTCTTGTGTACGAGAGATCTCGCTTTATGGGGTAGTTTTTGATGCATATTTCGAATTTCTTGCTAACAGGTACAGCAACAGACATCTTCTATGGGCTTCTTAAAGGTCGTAGTAGGTACGTGACCATAAATGAACCACATAGACCCTCTATTTTTAGGGAACGTGCCGTTTACGCTTATTCTTAACGCTTATTCAAATTCAAGTATCAAAGCAATCTGATAAGTTTTTTGGTCACTGTGACATCATAAAAGAAGAAGAAAGTCACTGACCTAACATTGATGGCAGTGAAATTTTGCTCAGAACAGGTATTTAGATTCCAGACGGTCGCATGACGAGGCATGGGGACACTTCGGATACCATTACTGATTTTCACATTGGTTGACCTTTATTGACCCAAAGGTTATGATCTACAGATCTCAAGTTTTTACACAAGTGAGCTCACATACAGATAAATCCATTCTGTGAATGTCGTCTTTCTAGCTCTCTTAGTCTTTGAGATCTCAGCGGAGTCAAATTGCCCCTCGCTCTAACGAATGGTATTCAAGCGGCCACCCAAGCGCGCAGCAGTGAACTCGCGAGATGACCACCGGCGCGCAGTAACGAACGCCCGAGACGGCCACGGCATTGACAAAGACAAAGAGGTAAAAGAGGTAAAGGACAAAGAGGTGAGAGGTAAAAAAAATCAAGACAAAGAGGTAAAAAGGGAGAGAGGAATCTGATGACATACGTGGGTTAGGCCGATGAGGATGCTGTTACACTTCTTGATCATGGCAGCTACGCCATGGCCCTGCGAGAGGTTTGTCGAAAAGCGCACTCATATTGTGAACAAAGGGTTTCCCACGCACGATGTCCTCGCGGAATTTCGCCGGATGCGACATCGGCAAAAAGCTGGAGCAGGAGAGTGCCCAGCAAGGAACGTTGGGATACACCAATGGGATTGGACGGGGCTAGGATAACTGCCGTTGCTGCGTCCATCAGCTGTTTCCAAAGACTGAGTAAGGTCACTGGGGTGAAAACAGAACCATGAGTTGGATCCATTTGTGTTCGGTGTTTGTTAAAGGAAGTGTTCCACATTTGCATGGGGGTTTGAACTCAGAAAGCGATCTCGAAGACCTTTCGGTGCTGTTCACAATCCCGCCCTTCAAGACCTAATCCCCCGCTAGTTTCTGAGCTAATCGCCCGCGAAAATGGGAATGTACATCGGGGAGAGCATTTCAAATCCACCTCAGCATTCATGACGCTATAAGTATGTCATTCAAATCCTGCCATTCCATGGATTTTGCGACGATCATGGGCAAGACAAATATCATTGTCGAGGCGTTCATATCTGGCGTTCGTGAGCGCGATTTCCAGATATAATAACCGTTAATTGGCTCTAAATCTATGTTGTGTAAGGTACGATGATGTAATCAAACAATGACGCATCGAGGAGCATATTTACTAAACAGATCATGTTGCTGTCTAAAGCAGTCTTTTCCACTTAAAAATGAATAAATAGCTAGAAGTGCACTTGTATCATCATATTTGATGCTTCATTCAATATTTTCCAATGTCATACGTTCCTTTTACGGAGCTTCGCATAGCTCATCGCGTGGAATCATTGGGTCACATCAATAAGAATGGCTTAAGGGACGCATTCAAATGCGATAAGGAGCACTGTTTCTGCAGAGACGACAGTGGAACACTTATGGGAAGAAAAGAAAATGTGCTTGGCAAACATGTAGGAGTAGCGTTGGCGCTGGACCACTTTATCTGCAAGCTTGAGGAAAGCCGGAACAATAGCAGTGGGTTCAGAGCTGCCGACTTCAGAGCGGTCGGCGTTTTATGGACTGAATTCACAAGGGAGAGCTTCCAAGACGCGATACATTCGAACGCTGTGCACGATATGTTAGTGATGAGTGATAGGTTTCCGGAGAATCTGCCATCGGAGGCCTGCAGGACCGCTCAAACCACTGGCCTGGAAAACATGTTGCACCCTACTTTACGGATTGACACAGACGTGAAATCGACCATGTATGAATTGAATGGCGATAACTACACGCATTATGGCTATTTTTGCATCGCATTAGATCAACTATCGTCTTCTTTACAAAACCTCTGCAGTGACTTAAGTCATGTTCTGATACAATTACAATGCTGAAGGAATCACGTTTTACCATACCGCTAATGTGCTCACCGTACTGGTCATTGAACTGAGTTCAGTGATTCACAAACCGCTGTTTAAGATATATATTGTGCGAGCCATCTTTAATCTAAGCGATGATGCCAAGTCAAAGGCCCGAAAACTAGAGCAATGCGTCAAAAAGCTCGTCAATGCTGAGTCAGCAATTACTTTTAATCCAACATATACATATGTATATATATATATATATATATATATATATATATATATATGCATATATATATATATGCATATATATGCTGTCAACCTTTGCACACACTATATATATATATATATATATATATATATATATATATATATATAGGTAGATAGATAGATAGATATAGGCAGGTCGAGGTCAGGTCATGGATGTCAGGGAAGGGCATTTGCAGGGAATCGTTCAATGTGATGCAACAACGGGTTGTTAGACGAATCCAACATGTCTGAGGTAGTTCCTTAGGCAGCAAACCAGTTGAGTTTAGAATTCAACCAATTACATTGACATAGAGTCGAGTGTGAAGGTCAAAAGGAGGTCAAAACTGCCCTGCTTTTTACTCGAGTGCTTGGCCTTAACGGGGTGGTTTCTGGCGCTTGTTTCACAATTAGTAATGACAGGGGCCGCAACAGACATGCACTATGCACTTTTTAAAGGTCAGAGTAGGTCACTGACCTTAAATGACCCATGTAAGTATGTTGTTTTTAGAAACATACTACCCAGCGTAATTCCTGATGGTTATTCTAATCGCAGAATAGGAGCGATCTCGTAAGGTTTGATCACCTTGACCTTTTAAAGGTGAAACAAGGTTGAAAAACCACATTGAAATTTGGCTTTGAGCAGGGATGTAGCTTCACGGCGGTTGCCTAGGGAGGTCTGGGAGCACTTGAGACATCAATCTAGACTTTTACCTTTCTGACCTTATTTACCACAAAGGTTAAGACCCAGGAATCTCGAATTTCGACACAATTGGTTCACGTATAGGGCAATCTACTCTGTTAGTTAGTGTTTCTGGCTATATCAGTTTCCGAGATCTCAGGAGGTCAAACTGACCCCTTCCCCCGCTTGAGCGAAGGGCATTCGAGCGGCCACCTGCACGTTTGTTAATGTGGAGCTCATCCACTGGCATATGTTCTCCCAAGAACTGAGTGGTCAATTCCAAGAGGTCATGGCGGTCAGTTTTAAACCTGCACGCGCTTTTTAGGTCACACATAATGGTATGTGCAAATCTCCGGGGCCCATGGGAATGTGGGGAAATTATGTATCATTTGGCTGTCTGTGGAGCAGGGCCGGTCTTGGTGGGAAAAACATGCGAATGCTGATGGCCATCATGTGCAACACTTCGCCGCCGCTTGCGCTGCAATGGCTGACACAACAAGGCAAGAGCCACGCACAGTTTGAAGAACAGTTGCTTTTTGACTTGCGTTTGTTGTATGGCGGAGTCGCGCTGACCAGGTGATCCCCTTCGGCGTGCCATTCTGGACGGCGTTGGAAAATAAGAGATGACCCGTTTAGCTGACGAAATGAAGCAGATGGAACACATGCGATTCCCATGCTACGTAATACTGCAATGCTTTCAACGCCAAAAAAAACAGGACTACTTTGCAAAGGTGGAGAACACCTTTGACATCCATGACAGCGTGTTTCTTTTTCACACGGAAGAATCGGCTGTGCCGCGCGATCCTGAATGTCAGGAAACCGCACCAACGTATAACTCTTGGGCTGGGCACTACTTACACGAATCTAAATCCCTAGTCACTGCCCTCCCATTCTCCCGCATGATACGTGACTCTAGTGCAGCATATTGCACAACCCGTGCTCATCGAAGACTCGCGCACCACACCGCTCCAGCAAAAACCCAATAAAACTCCGCGAAACGGCCCGGTTAGTTCCGCCGGTAGCGCCCTAATTGGAAGCGCGCCCGCTATCACCTGATCGCAGCTTTCATCTGGCGGTGACTGCGGACGGGGCGCCGCTTCTCCACTACGCACGCCGCGCGCGGGAGGAGGGAGGGGGGGGGGGGGCAGGGGCAGCAGGTAGCGGCCCCCACGCCGCCTTTCTCGGCGGCGCCGAAGGGCGTGTCGTTTCCGTTGCATCAGCTGCCATCCCAGCTGACCGCGGCCGGCCGGCGGCGGCGGCGCAGGTCCGCTGCGGTCGGCGCAGGCTCCACAGTCGCGGTCAGCCGACTGGGCGGTGGCGGGTACGCTTGGAAACAGGCACACAGGATCACCGCTCGGTGGGGGCGGTCCTCGCTACCACTGAAGCGCAGTGTACGCTGGACGCGTGCTTCCAGAAGTACGGACCAATCTGTATGGCACTCATTGCGCCGGAGTGGGTGTCGAACCAATCCGGCGCACCTGGAAATTGATTCCCACATGGGTTGAAAAATTCATTTTCACTCGACACCCTTACCGGCTTTTGAGTGGGAATTAAATTACGCGTGTATGGCGCTGCAACTGGATGACATTACTTCGCTGAGGCAGGTGCAGTCGACTCTAAACACAGCAATCATTGAACCAATATTCGTCACATAATTTCCAATCGATGGCAAGGTTGCGGTTTCATCACTGATTTCGAAAGTGATCGCATCACACCAGCATCCTCACCTTCAAAAACCGCAGAGAACCCTTCTAGCGTTGTAACAAAGGTCGAACTCGACAGCCGCTTGCTAAATTCTCTCGAAGCTTTTACCAATCGAAAGGGAACGTTTGATTGTATCTATTCTCCCGAACCTAGTTACTTCATGTCACTATCTCGACCTCCAAAAGTCGTATGCATAACGTGATACATTCCAACCAGGTCTGAGCTCGGAGACCGGAGAGCCGATTATCTGGCCACCTGTACTGAAAAGTGCCACACGGTGAAATATGCTGACTCCTTTCGGTTTTACTTCCACCAATATGAGCGCAGACTACCCATTTTTCTCACATAAATAAGACAGTAGTATAAGCCTTATCCATCGAAAATACCAGGAGAACAGAAATATAGTTAGATTGATATTTCGGCAACATGCCTTTCTCGAAACAATACCAGAAATGAGTTCAAAGTTGCCTGTCGATGATCGTACTCTATTTTTCATGCTTTTTTAAAGAGCAAGCCACAGTTTTTACAGCACACCAACATTCAGAGAACTAAACAAAGAGTGATTGCCAGCCATTACCAAGATACAGTGCCCATCTAAGAATCACAATGCCCGGACATACGTGTGCATGCAAACGAATTTAAGCAAAAAGGCATCACGCATAACGCTTCATACGAACTGCAAGCGAGCAATAGTCTGCAAGTCTTATCAAAATTCGGCAGCCAAATCTTAATATACAGAGCTCATCATGGCCAATCATGCGAAGGTGATATGTGGCTTTATGTGTGATGTGTTCTAGTTTAAAATCGTTTACATGTGTGAGTGATGCCTGACGTGCGATGTGCGGTGCCTGTTCAATTGAAATCGTTTGGATGTATAATTGGTGCGCGATGTGTGATGCCTGTTTACTTCAACTCGCTTGCATGTT